TTTTTTTTTAAAGTTTCATTTATTTCTCTCATCGTTTTCTCGTATCGCAAATCAGACAAGCGCGTAAACGATGATTTTGAAAAAATCGCTCGGATTCGATTCATCACTTCAGAAGAGCACTTGTTGAGGCGTTTTATTAAGTCGTCATCTGTTTAAGGATAAGGTGAATGAAGAGGCTGGCAAAAAGAAAGTGAAACCCTTCATGATATATCCAGCAAAAGTAATCGGTCTATGGAACCGAGGTGCAAAATCATCGTGTGCGATTGAGCTGGAATTACCCGGAGGCAATCTCGGTAACCGTTTTTGAATTGTTCTAGTTGAATTTCATATTCAGCAAATGATTATTCAGCAATTATTTTTTCACATCTGTGTGTACATTTTGTTATATCGCTGCGATAAATTATTCTATTTCAAAAACTCCTCGTGAGGAGGCATCATTATACGATGGTTTATGAAGATTTCGATCCATTGATTCTGTTTGACCTTTATGAAATGTTTTGTTAGTGTTGAATGCTTTTGAATATATTCGAAATGCAATTTTTCAGAAGATTTCAGATTATGAGTGCTTGTTCTTGATCTGATGATTGTTGAGTGGATTCCTTTGTTTCTTGTCCATCGAAATTGTCTTTTGCAGGACGTTTGCATGGCTCTGAATTGAACGAAGCGTTATTGGAGAAGGAAAAGTTCCCGTTAGCGGCATTTTTACGAGCTAAACTCGGGAAAACGTTGAATGTGAAAGTGATCGCAATCGGGAAAATCACCGAGAGTACATCGAAGAAGCCAGATTTATCGAAGCCAACCAAACTGAAACCGATTGATGAAGAAAAGAATATCACATCGGTATGCTGATGCTACATTTCAGTTTTCAGTACTTGTTCAACCGTTCTCAGTAATCCAAAGTTTGTCTGAGAATTTCCGTCAGCCAAAATGAATGTTGCATTTTGCTCATTCAGTTAGTAATAAAGTAAATTTGAATTATGCTAACAATAATAACGGTAAATTATTTATGCAGTAAGCGTTTTATCGCCAAACTGAAGGATAACTATGAGGCGACAGAGATTGGATAAGGATAATTTGAACGACAATAATAATAGATTGATGATTTCATAAACGTGAACCAAATTCAGTGTGTTCGAGTGGCCGAATGTACTCTACGTAACTGGAAGATGGCTGAGGGAAGGAAAAAGCAGTCACTGTTGGGATATCAACAAGATTACATTCAAGGAGAATGGTTAACAGTTTTTGTGAAGAAACCGATCGTGGGCGGGACACTGCAAGTGGAGGTATCGCCAGTGTGCAGCGGAATCGTCGAAAAACAAAATCTGGGCGAAGACAATCTGGTTTGTTTATTGATGAATCGGTTTCGTTTGGTCTATCCTATTTTCACATATTGTTGATGTCCACCGAGGCTGGATGGCATTCTTCTGTTCGATTCATTTGTAAAATTCTTCACTTTCGTCCCAACTCTCTGAATCAGTTCTAATCGTGGTGATTAATTGTTAGAAATAGTATTGAGTTATATTTGTGATTCATGAGAAAGATAATTCGTGTATTATTATCAAAAGAAAATATTTGTTTGTTCGCAATTATGAATTTACCGTAAATGTAAATTGCAGCTCATCAACCCGACAAATAAAGAATCCGCACTGGTGGACACTGTNGAAACGATCACGGCGAAATGCAGCAAAAAGCAAAACATTGGAGCTGAGTCTCGTTGATAACAAGGTATTTACCGTGATTGAGGAGTGAATAATGTTCCATTGTTATTACCACTCGGATTATTCTCAGCGTTTGAAATTTTGATTTGTCAGGTAGATAGGATTAAGGATTGAGGTTTTATTCTGGTAGTATAAAGTTTCTAGTGTAAGCGTAGAATAATATCTGATGTTGTTAGGTACCACATCATTGAAGTAATTTGTTTCAATTCATTTATACATTTGAGAAATTTTGGATATTGATTCAACTTTAGCTTGAAAAGTGTTCTGCTAGCGCACAATATGACTGATTATATTGTATGAATCAGGAAGTGAAAGGTGACGAACGCGTGATAGGACGTGTTATACTCCAAAGCACATCACCAGCAAGTGTCACTTTTGCGTTGTCGAACGGTCAACGAGCGATTATCACTCCGACCGCTGTGAATAGTTGTTATACGAAAGCGTTGAATGATATTCGATCGTATCAGTTCAATGAGGTCAGTTCAACGTTCTCTACATTCGCTTANAAATTGAATCGAGAATGAAAGAATATTGCGAACAACTAAAAGGAAGTTCGGGTCTTAGTGGTTTCAAATTGATCTTCAATGATTTGATTTTATTGGAATCAGTTTTTGCAAAGAACTCATAGAGTCGAAAAATAAGTTCAATCGTGCATCTATTGTTGTTGATGCTTTTGAAATATCAAGGACTGGCAATGTGATGGTCATATTTTGCAGGTTTATTTCATATATTTAATTCGATTCGACGATGAAGCAGGGCGATGGATAGCTGTGAGTGAGTCTCGTTACGATGAATGTTCCGCTCCTTCTGGAACTAAAAAAGTCACTGTTCGAAATCCACTTCTCAAGAGCGTTAATGATATTGAGGTGAATTTCTCATGCATCATTAAAGTTTTGAATGTTATTTACGTTTTGAAATGAGCGAAAGATTTACGAGATTTATTCAGCTGTTATTGTTTTTGCATGGGAAGTGATAAGAAAGACGTTCTTGAATGAAACTGAAATGGTTCTGTATCTAAGTTCGTTGTTCCGTTGGTTTTTGCAACAGAAAAATTCATCTAACTTCGTTGATGACTGTTTATAATAAGTAATATTTCCTTCTCGTCTTTCAGGAGAATTCTTCGTTGGAAGGCTTCGTGAGCTCAACTTCTAATGATCACACTTACGTTGAAATAGCACCTGGAATTTCAGGACGTCTCGAACAAAGGAAGTATGCATTTTTTTTAAATAGAAAATATACACTGTTCATTCTCAGCCGAAAGTTTTATCTTCATTCCCTTTCCGTATCAGTTTTAGTTAACTCGAATGGAATTAATTTGTCGATTTGTTTTTTCCACTAATTTGTTCATTTATTCATTCGTCTATTCGGTTGATGGTACATCGAATCGAACGATTGTTCGAATTTGCTAATAAATGAAGTAATTTTAAGATGTCCGAC